TGACAGTATCACTCAGCCTTGATGGTCTGACCAGCTTGCAACAAGTCCCAATGCATCGGCCTACTTCGGTCCCAGAAAATGATCAACACTGCTTTTAACACAAATCTATTTGGTCTCGATGTTGGTGTAAGTTGCAGTAAGTTGCGAATGACTTCCCATGACGGCTCCATTGTTGGACAAGTAATAAAAAGGATAAAGCTTTCGGCGTTGATCAATCCCTAAGGGATGCGCCATGCATTCGACTTCAATTTTTAACTTCGTTTAAGGTGATTGAATGCATATCTGACCTTTACAATGACTCGCGGTGGCCTTCCGCTGAACCGAGTCAGTGCTGCTTATCCTCCCAGACAGTTTGAGACCTGCCTGGTACCAATTTACAGACCCCGGAGGGATGGATGGCTTGGTGAGCCATGAGCGCGAGATCGAACCATTGACCTCGTGTGCGACGCAGAGCACCTCTAACCACTGCGCCACATGCGCTCGTTGGACAAGTATGTGCAAAATTATATCAAAGGATGCGCAAGCAAATTCTGCACAAGATAAGTAAGAAAAATCTATTTTTGTAGGAAAATTTTTACTTTGCGGGTTCAAGTTCGGAAACCTAGTTGGAGACCTAGTAAATCATTGTTCAAACTCACAATGACCTTTCTTCATTTTCCAAGCACATCATCTCATGTTCCTGATGATCAGCATCATACATTTGATTTCTCCAATTTTGTTCGGCGTGATTTCTTTCCCAATTCCTATAGGTCTTATTTTTTTTTAATAAAATTATTACTACTACAGATGAAGTAAGGGACCAAATGACGTCACCTGACCATTTTTCTTTATGAACCAGAGACTTGCTCTTGAGTTTAGCCAGGCTGAAACCAAGGCACTTCTCTAAGATAAAAACAACGTGACATGAAAGTGGAAAGATCGCACTTATTTCATTTTCGAAGTCCAACATTCTGTGCGTTGAGTGACTTACCAGTTCGTTTCATAGTATTACTTTCAGGTGACATGGAAAAGCGTGAGGTCGCAGCCAGGGCTTGATCCGTCCCGAGTGGTTTTTTATGTTGTTGAATAAATGTGATTTCGAGAATGTCATCATCGTTTTCTCCTTTTTCTCCAGGAATAGATTTACTTGCAATGAAATTAGCAAGACAATTTGCTGCCATATTTCGGTCTTTCGTGACAAATTTCACGTCTTCTTATAACCTTTCACCAATCTTTCCTAATTTACTGTGAAAGATTCTACGAATCTTACGTTGGATTGGAGAAAATTCGATTGAAGTCGTACTTATTGATAAAATGGGCCACAGTTTGGTGTACTAGAAGTGTAAGAGTGAACAATTGACACTATTTCATCAAATTCATTGTCCCTATTTTTCTTTGTGCGAACTATGTACTTATTTGTAATGGCGTGTGTGTATGTTGGTGCACTAATGCTTGAAGGTCTTTCTCACTAGGCACTAAACTTTTCTCAGACTTCTAGTAATTATTCAAAAGCTCAAACTTTGGCCACTTGAATCTTACTATAGGTTTCTATAAAGTCCCTCAAATTGTGTCGTAACAGCAAAATAAAATTGTGCTACACACACGGTTTGTTTGCTTGCTCGGCTAAGGTCTGCAGACGGCTTTTTGGCTAACTTTCGAAAGCCATTCGATAGCTCAAATCTGGACGCCTCTGAAGCTCTATTTGCTCTCAGATAAGTTATCACAGAGCGCTTTGAAAGTGTAAAGGCAATCATGTTCTACACCTGGAATAATTAGGAGGTCGCTCAAACTTCACATAGGAATCATTGGTACTTACAAGTGAAATTTATTTGTTAAATGCACTTTATCGCTACGAAAGGTAACAATACTACGGAGGAAGCTCTCATAAAGGAGTTTTATTAAAAAGAACGTCTACATTTCGACAAAATACCTATATTTCTATGAGAATAGCACGTTCTCAAAAAAAAGGAATGTGTTAACAACTGTTATTGAGCATTTTTTTTTCATATTTCATTCACTTTTTTGCAACTACTAATGACTTAGAATATGCTAATTATGATACTGATCTTGTTTTAAGAGAGGTCGTAGTATTCTCCACTGCCAAAAAAAAAAATCGTTTTGCTTCTGGAGTAGTCAACCCTTTATTCGAAATACACAGTGGGTTTTGGTGGCAGTGACTTCAAAATTTTCGGTTCTGCAGAAACCTTATCGCTACGAAAAGACAGAGTATTTATTAATAATTACACTATATTTGTGACTAAAATCTAATATTACAATGTTCTAGTGCTTTTACTGCATTTTTCGCAGCCTTATGATGTTACAAATATACCTAAGAGATTGGAGTGGTTGGCAAAAATACGACCTCAGACGGGAAGTCGAACCCGCGTTCCAACCTTACCGAGGCGCTTACTGTCACTACACCACCACTCTTCACCACCACCACCACTCACCACCTGTCCCTGGTATGGATGAGACGCGGGTTTGACTCCCGTCTGAGGTCATAATCTTGCTCACCACTCAACTCTCTTAGGTAAATAGTCAATATTGAAGTAATATAAAAACAACTTCTGCAAGCGTATTTTCATTATCACGAGCCTTAATATCTTAAAAGTCCTTGCTTTTTGATACGTAAACTACGTCCATAGGATAAAAACCTATTTCGGTTCTCACATTTATAATCAATTGTGTATTAGGACCTCGCTTAAAATTTAGAACATCCTGACAGCATATTGTGAACCTTTCATGAGGTCTGTTATGGCACTCTTAGTCTCAGACGTACGTCAGGGCCTTTTGGCCTCATCAAAAGCACAGTGCCTTTTAGTTTAGCCAATACAAAATTTAGCCAAGTAAGGGAATGCTCCTCAGCTGACATGCAGTGATCTGTTATCACTGCAATGCAGTGTGATCTTTTCACTCTACAAGCAGTGTAGCTATTTCAGCGCTGATTCCCCTTAGACCTAGGGTTATATTACCTTACATAGGATTGACTGAGTCGCAAGGCACGTGTTACTGATGAGGCCAGAATACTGAAACGTACGTCCAGCACTAAAGTGCCAGAACAGGCTTCATGAAAGGCTCAGAATAATCTGTCAGGGTGTATTTTCACATTTCTTTCAACGATCGTCAAAGCGTGTAGTTTGAAAAAACATTTTCTCTAGTGCATGACTCTCAATGGACTCATACGGAGGATTTTTAATATTAAGCCGAAGTAAGCCTTTATAGAGTTCGCATCCATCATTTTGCAAACTATTGCTTTGGAGAGAGTGCATTTTCCTCATCCAAATTTCAAACTTTTCACCGATTTTGTAGATCTACACGCATAATATTTGATAGTCAGCAACTTATACGATCAACATCAGCCACTATAAAATTACTTCTGCTCATACACTAGCACTCGTCAACAATTTACCTTTGCTGAGCTGAATTTATACTCCTCACAATCAACAAGTAGTGCTTTCCTCTCTTTCACTAGACTATTTGTAGTCATTCGATGGCCGCACTTATGGAGATTTTGTACTAAAAATTTGTAAAGGCCTATTTAGTGCACAAACCCAACAAGAAAAACTAGGCCTCATCCTTGGGGTAGTTATGCTGCTGTTTGAAGTTGACAGCTGATATTGTTGAAATGATGTAGTAAAATTTAGACGCAATCATCATTAATCTTGGGCACACCATTCCTGCCGGCATGCTTTCATGAAGATGATTCTTTGACTGATGATGTTTATGCTAAGGCCAGCGCTTTACATTGCCTTATTCAAGTGCTGTTTGCATAAAATTCTCTGCTATTATTTGCATTCCTTGCTGTTCATCTGCGCTATAACATTTTCGCTGATCGATCATACATGACTTTTTTGTTCTCATTTCGGCGCACCGTGGTTGATTGGTTGTGATGCTCGTCGTGGCGTACGTAAAGCCAAGCTCCATCCCTTATCTTTCTCTGATAGTCAACAGCGAACGCCTCATGGAGCACCACAGCCAGGCTATCCTCGAATGCAAGGAGACTTGCTCAACAAGTACTCTATGGCGGGTTAGAAGAAGACGAAACGAATTGAATGCTAGAAGTACTTGGATCCGCACAGTAAAAGAAACACTGTGAAGGCGAGTCAATAAAGTAAAGTTGAAGAAAGTAAATTCTTATTTGTGGTACCGTCACGTCGCTAATGTTATGTTAATATCTTTGCATTTAGAGGTTGATTCGCGTAAATTTATGGTGCTGCACCTTATACGATCTGTGGCAGTCTAGTCTATGCGTTTACAAAACAAACATCCAAGGCTCCCACTTCAAAATGACAAAAGTTTTATTAACTTTAATATAATGCCGAGATCAGTAAGGTTAGACTACTGAATCACCTAATAATTCATTATTGAAGATATCTGGTAATAAATTTGAGGTCCGACTTCCACTGAACTCGGCTTGAAAGATCGAAACTATCGTACGAGCTATCCCATTTAAGAGTTCAAACTTGCGATTTTTTGGATCTTTTCGCAAGCTTCAAAGAGAGATACTCAAAAGGTAGCGTTGTAAATGTTTGAAATACCATCTGTCTGTGCTTACTTCAAAAGAATTCTTTGACCTTGTTCACAAATCTTGAGCGAACAGCTTTGTCAACACCAACTTATGAAGCATTTGTACCTTGAAATCCTAGTCAGTGAAGACATGTTTTTCGAAACGCATCCTAAAATCATCGTTTGACCTATTTTATTGTAATACGTTGTATATCAATCACTTTGGCATAGGCGAAGCCAACAGCAGGTTTATTTCCCTTTGATGTTCAATTTCTTATTCTCCGTTCTGAGGATATGATCATTACTGCCGATTCTTTCATTACTCAAAATGTGGAAGTTCGCATAGAACATTAATTATTGTAGGATTATACAACGGTGAAAAAGTTCTGAGAAAATGCTTACAAAACATTTACTTATGCACCTGTTAAAATACTCGGAAATAGTATTTTGATGCATTTCGCATTGTTATGATGTTACTTAAATAACTTAGAGAACTGACTGGTGAACAAAAACGCGGCCTCAGGCGGGAATCGAACCCGCGTTTCATCCTCTCCGAGGACGCGTGCTCTAACCACTACACCACCGGGGCACATTTGCCCGACCACTCATTCTTCAACATCTCAAGGTTAGCTATCAGCCACCAACCTTTGACAGGTTTGGTCGGATATACGATTTTGCTTTATAAACCCAGTTGAGCTGACAGCTATTCTAATTACTAATACTCGGAATTAATAGTATTTTAATTCATTTCGCATTGTTATGATGTTACTTATATAACTTAGAGAATTGACTGGTGAACAAAAACACGGCCTCAGTTGGGAATCGAACCCGCATTTTATCCTATCCGGGGACGCGTGCTCTAACCACTACACCACAGAGGCACATTTGCCCGACCACTCATTCCATTCACTCATTCTCATTTTTCTCATTCATGTGCCTCGGTGGTGTAGTGGTTAGAGCACGCGCCACCGGATAGGATGAAACGCGGGTTCGATTCCCGCCTGAGGCCGTGTTTTGTTCACCACTCAGGTCTCTAAGTTATATAAGTAGCACCTGTTACACTCGAACAAAGGCAAATCTAACAGCCAGACTTTTACTATTACTACTTTCTTACTTTTAACTTCAGTTTTACTACTAAACACCGTGCTTTTGCCAACTGTGTCTTCGCCCCAAGCCAGACTGATGCGTTCACTCGCCAGCGTTGCATTTGAACCCAACAGCCATTCGTGCATCATACACCAATCAACGCGGAAGAAGACGGGTATTCAAATGAGCCCAAAAACACAAAAGCACCCAAAAAAGTTACAAGTATTTTCTCAGAACTTGTTCCTCAATCTTTTAGATGCGACATGAGAATGTAATACAAAATTCCACATGGAGTCACCTCTTTCCCACCCAGTTTACACCGGTAACACTGTTACAAAATGATTCCATCTCACTCGCAGTTATTTTGATGTTTCTTATCATGTCTTACGTATCCTAACACTTAATATCGCTTATTTACACCTGAACTTTTGAAAGCAAATTTCTTACGTAATCCAGTTGTCGATCGGTGCCATCCACCAACAAAGTGCACAAACAAATTTGTATTCGAATGATTTTTGTAGTAAAAGATAAGTGTGTGGCCGCAATGAACCATCTAGGTCTGTCTGACTTAAGACATCGATCTCAATAGCATAAGCCGTTTGGGGCGGCGTGTATCCATTTAAATAGCAGTTTTCTGCAGGCCTTCCTCGCTGGATCAAGTTTTCCTCAAAGCTCTGACACTCATTAAAAGCCTAAATTTTGGTGATTTTAATTACGTCTTTGGTTCTGGATAGCCTCCTTACTGCGTTATAGCAGCGAAAATGATAAAATGCTTTACCCTCGGTTTGCTTTGATTCCTCTGCTGGCGTCTGTGAATAGTCTTTCACCGTGCTTTTAAAAGTCAACTTATAGCTCAAATCTCGACAGCTTTGTGCTAAATTTGATTCCTGAATAGGCTTTTATAGAACGCTGGAAAAACAAAAGAAAGACCACTTTTTACACTTGGAGTTCTCTTGGTATATAGAAGTTATTTATGCACGAAGAGCACATGACCATATAGAGAAAATCTGGAGTATCCGAGCAACAAGAAAACTCCAAGCTTTTCACAAAACAGCGAAATACTAAGTGAAGTAACGAAAATCGCGCGCCGCTTGTGAATTACGCTGCGCGATCGATCACAACCTGTTAATTTGTGTAATCTGTTCACAAAGTGCTCATAGACACGATCCAACGAAACAAATTAAGCGTTTGACAGAAAGTTGGCAAATTTATTCTATTTCATAAGTTACAATGAGCAATATATCTGAATTGAGATGTGATGTCGTAACTCAAATGTAAGCTATACATTCACAAAGCGAAATTATTAAATCCAAAAACCATAGTCCTCATGTTACTATCAAAATCTTCTGGTAGATGAATACATAGAAAACTTGGAGTTTTTATAGATCTGAGTACTATAAAGATTAATCTGCTCCACTTTCACTGCTCTAAAAGCGACTGTGTAGCAAAGTCGAAAACGCATCCACATATCTCTTACTCATGAAACCAACACAAAGATTTTCTTAAATTATCGACCACTCAACTTGACTAGTTCTCAAACAATGTTGATCGAAAAAGTTCCAATTTATCCTATCTGATTATCTCCTGAACTCGTTAACACAAATTACTGGTGTGCTTCATTTACAACTGCAAGTGTCTAGAGAGTGTTGGTCAAAGTTACGTTATTACACTAATGAATTTATGAATCACTTTCACATGACTATTGTAAACGATGCTCATTTAGATCTGAACCAGAGCCATGTGTTTGCGAAAAAAGGCGGTGAGAAGTCCAGAAGGAACTCTGAAGTCAGAGTCGTTAGCTGCCACACCTCAACCTCCTAATGCGAAACCGAAACCGAAGAAGAATCAGGAAGAGACCAGAAGTGCAGCAGTGGATGGAAAACAGAAGCTGAATAGCAACGAGAATATGGTCGCCATTCCATACCAAGTTAGTTTATTTTCGCGGTATTCCTAAACTGCACACTTCACCTTCATTTGTCCAAATTCACAGATCATGCATCAAAGTTTAGCGCCTCGAGAAATTGCGTATGAGACCGAGAAATAAATGATAGCATTGATAGGCGTAGTTGAGTTGAAGAGTTGACATTTTTTGTACACATTTATTAGCATCGGATTTTACCTCTGGTGCGATTGCACGGTGGTACTGTACAGTTGAAAATAACCAGGCAGAATGGAAATCACTGAACACCTCAGTTCTAATTTTTGCCCATTGTTTTCAAGCTTGTTATCATTGTCGAAGTGCAATTATGGCGAAAGGACAAGGCTGACATAAGCTGAGTGAAATGTCCGGGGCGCTTGCACAAAGTAATCTCTCCAGCTATGTAGATTCCGCGATGAACAACATATATTGTAGCTAGACTAGTCACTAACGTGGTAAACGTTTTAGTTTTCTGAATCAACAACACATTTCTATCGGACCACAACATTGCGACCATTTTATATCTCAATGAAAGGAAAACTTTCTCAGTTTCATTTTTGTCATCTATCATGAGAAAAAGAGAATCGATACACGTCTATCTCGTAATTTCAAATGACACTAGAGCACCACCTCACTTGTAAACGTGAACGCTCATAAGAGAACCTTATCCACAACCGAATCAAAAGATGAAATACGCTACCGACAGTCACCATCGTTGCAGATAGGAAGATATAATGCTTTGCGACCGTAGAGCACCGATTTTGTCTTGTTGATGAAGTAATGAAATCTGTTTGCTCTAACGTTTATTTACTGTTTCTTCATTTTCCATGGCAAGGTATCACCTGTATCACCCGTCCATTCCATTGACCGTCGATCAAATACCAGACTCCACTTAACTTTTCATTATTCCTTGATAAGCAGATGTGAGATTCTTGACAGTTCTATTTGCTTAGTGTTATAATGCAGTACATCATGGACACAATGGTTGTCGCTTCGGCGACTCGGCTTTCTCGAGGGCTTAGAAAGGTCAAATTGATTCGCAATCCACTCAAACAAATACTCTTATAGTCACGGTAGAAAGGCGTAATGAAAAGTTTTTGATCACGTAGTAAAATCACTGTGTGTACGGGACAGCTTAAGGAGAATTCTGTAAACATGTCGAAAAAAAAAACCATTTCTGATGGCTACGAAAAGGAGGGAGCTCTTTTGATTAGATTTAGAAAAAGCGACAACCCCCCACAAGATAAAAGAAAGGTTCCATTCAGCCCACCCTTCAATAGGTTAGGGAACAAGTTCTGAGAAAATGCTTCTAACTTTTTTGAGTGTCGGCCATTTTTTGTGTTTTGGGCTCATTTGGAAGCTCGTCTTCTCCTACGTTGATTGGTATATATTCTATCTACTTATTTCAAGGTGGAGTTAAGAAGCGAGCAAATTAGGTAGCTGATTATGCACGAATAACTGTTGGGATCGAATGCAACAGTGACAAGCGAAAGCATCACTCTGACTTGGGGCGAAGAAGCAGCTGGCAAAAGTGCGGTGTACAGGTTGTTCAAAAAGTTTTACGAAGATGAACAAAAGTTTGGAAGATCAGCAGCGTTTGGGTCGTCCAAAACTAGATGATCGTCAAGCTGTGTTTGAAGCGATGAAGAAAATTCTTTTTCACGACTCGGTCAATCATTTCTTCAACAGCAACAAATCGGAATTTTATGTCCGCGGTATCGATCTTTTGCCGGTGAAGTGGCAGGAAGTGCTTGAAGTTGAAAGGAACTACTTTGACTATTAGTTTTGTCTTTGTTCGAGTGCAATAGATTTATAAATAATTTTCTCAGAACTTTTTCTCCGACCTATTATTTTCACTGAAGTGAACGCAGCTTCCAGGTACTGCTTCAGAAGGGCAGGCTGGACAATAAAGAAGCAGTGAATGCTCAAACACTTTGGGGTGCCTACTTATCCATAACCGAGTGCACGACCGTCTCCAAAACAAAATTGTACAATTTGTCCTGACGGCTAATGGACGAGATGGAGTACGGTATACCTAGTCCATGTGCGGACGAAAACATCGGTGAAATGAGTGCACCATCTGGGCCGCTGTGAAAAAACCCTTATCTGGAAAACTAGAAGCCGAACGAAACTTCACTAGGCACTTGTAGTGAACGAAACATTAAAGAGCAGTTTTTGATGTAACATCCCTATCTTCACATAAGAATTCAAAACATCTGTGCGAGCTAACGAAGCTCTTTGAATGAATACCAAAGTGATCTCACACCATACCGCAGACTATTTTCTCTTACGAGCCTACCCCACTTGTGATCAATGCTAGATTCTGAGCGGTTTGTCTGTGATGAGTATTTGGAAAACTTAATTGCATTGTTGTATCAAGTAGATACTACTATTAACAGCCTCACATCTGCCTATCAAGAAAAATTACTACTTAAGGGCCCATTCCACGGACCTCCCTCTTTGAGGGATCCCGCCCGGTTAGTCGCGAGGGCACGTGGCGCGTCCCCAGGTGGTGGATAGGGGAATAAAACGCGAACCAAAAGCGACCGTGTGCTTCCCAGAGACGCAGGTGGATTCAGGGGACGAGCTCCCTGCTTCTGCAGTGCCGACTTGACAAAACTCTATTTCTACGAGTCAAGTCGGCCAAAAGCCTGCAATCAAGCGGCTGGGAAGTACATGAGAGGCGGTTAGGAGTCGCCTCCAACAAATAAGCTCCTCCCGCTCCTCCGAGAGAGACTGGCAAGCTACTCGTGAGTACCCAGCCCCCACGTTTAGAGCCTGGCAAGCTACACGTTGGGTATCAAAAATGCCAAAAACAGTAACAAATATGGGCCTCATTCCCCTGACCCCGAAAGAGCCCCTGGTACGGCAGCGCCA